GCTAAAGGAATGTAATTAAGGGTGCAGCTGTAAAAGTACTATATAAGCAGCAAGGCACTCTGGCTCTTACTGGCTGGCTTATTGAAGACTGCATTCTTGCTGGATCGGGGAGGAGAAGAAGTGTTGGATTAATTTGAAGATATTTCTCAACTGGAGAGAAGATAAGTTTTGGACAGATTTATTATATGTGTACTGACACTGGCTATTCGACACGGACTTTGCAATTAGAGTATCCTCGACAAGACTTGACTGAATTTGGTATTTGACTAATGGACTGTTTATAATGACTATGCTATAATTCTTAAATGGAATAAATTATAATTTTGATAGCACAAGCGTATCTGTATTTTTACTGCGTGTTAACAAGAAGGCTTATCTCACACATTTACCTGTCTTCCTATCTGACTTCGCTGCACATTCTGTTTAGTTTGTTTTCCTTAACACCCGTTGGGGAATCCAGGCATAACACTTTTCTCCATTGTCTAGACAGTTTTGAGTTCTGCACAGGAGTTCACAGGAGCGGATTCTTTGCAGTATGGATAAGTCTGGTCTTGAGTGAAGTTTTTTGTGGTTGGGATTGCTTTTTGCAATGACATTTATTGTATGAATGAATATGCGTTTGCTGGACTCATTTTTGCATACAACTCTACAAAATCTTGGGGCCATAGAGCCGTCATTGTATTTGTACCCATGTCCATCTCTGGTTATTTCAATGATATCTTCAGGAGAGATGTTTGTTGTATTTGAGTTTGGAAGTGATTTGCCATTGCTTACTTCCCAGTGCTGAGAGCAAGCCTTGGGTGACGCAGATGGCTTTGTACTTGGAGCAGGACTAGAATTCACACCAAACTGCCTCTCCAATGCATATGCATCCAGTCGTGAACTTACAACCACATTTAGGATCAGAATGGGTAGCACTAAGCAGTGCAATGATTAAGTGAGACATACCATTTTGTGACCTTTTTGCTATATTTGTTAAGCGAATCACATGGTCATTAAGCAAATCCAGTTCCCCCCATTAGCGTTGCTAGTCGGAAGCCACTTGGGAAGTTTGTAAATGGTAATCCCATGCACTCACATTTGACAAGTGCTTGAATTTTGATCATGTGGCCATGGGGATGCTGCAACAGTTTGTGAGAACTGGTTTTAAGTCACTTTTTTCAGTGGCATTGTGGCCTTGAACAGTGGTCATTAAATGAATGGTTGTAACTTGAGGATTACCTGTAGCACTGTGTTTGTGCATCAAATTAAAAGAGGAGAAGGATCCATTAAAGAAGTCTATAACACCATCACTTGAGACTTTGAAGAAGAGATTGGACTGCCATCTGTCAGAAATGGTGTAGGGTCTCCTGCTTGGGTGGGGGGTTGGACTAGATGACCCTCAAGGTCGCTTCCAACTCTGATTATCTGTTATCTGTTAACTGGCCAGTACAACTACTCAAGGGCCTGACAGTAGTTTTCAATCTAACACTTTTGCCCTGGAAGCAGTATTCCAAGTTTTTAAATCTAGGAAACCTCCAAGTCTATTGTTAGCTGCATCATTGGGAATCCTGAAGGACCACATGGGGGCAAATCGTGCTGAAGAAGATCTAACAATGCGATTGCTAAAAGTCAGCATGACATAATCATTTTGTTTTCAACGGGGTGAGAACAGGATCATCAATTTCCACTCCAAAGATTGCTGCTAGTCATTTGGATGTCATAATGAGATGCTAGATGATGTGCTGGCTGTCTGCCTCTCCTTAATAAAATTATTTTGTGCATATTTTCTCCTGCTGTGTCAATAACCTCATTTGACTCATGGTTTTTTATTTATTTTGTATAGGGAGGCTCATTTGAGCAAGACCAGTGGTTTTTTAGAGTCATGCAGAGGGGAAACAAGAGAACGAAATTCAATAGAGGAATTCCCCTTAGTGCTCTTTAAAAAAAAAAAAAAAAGGTGAAGCAAATACTGATTACTTTAACCTTGCTTAATATTTCCCAGACTCTTATTTATTTAATTTAAATACAAATTTAATAATTTCTAAACTCTTCTATGTATTCAAAATAGACTGCAATTATGTATATGTATGTATACCGGTACACACACACACACACACACACACACACACACACACACACACCACTTTTGAGAGCGGGCATCAGAATTTCAATGTGTGCCAGCGTTTACACAGAAAAGTGTCAATAAAGGTTATCTTAACACAAGCATGGCCAAATATGTTTGTATGAACAAGTGTCCTTTGAGGGAAACTATAAGTGTGACACTGTGTTTTTCTACGTACACTTGGAATGACAGCAGTCTATGTAATTGTTAAGGCTGGACTAGAAAGGCCTAGTTTCTTGCTTCCCTGAGAATGGGTCACTTTGGGCCTGTCCTTTCCTCAGTCCAGGAAAGGAAGAGTTTTGTAACATGATGTAAATTTACAGAGAGGTTAAAATATATCTGTGCTTATAACTTTTTCTATCTTTAACTTTTCTTTTTATTGCCCTTTTTATTTGTTCTTTGATTTCTTTTTCTCTGCTACTTTCTATTAATTTACTTTTATTTTTTTGTTTAAAAGTTTTAATAAAAATTATGTGTTAAAATGAAAAAGAAGGAAAGAGAGAATTGTGGACTGTTAACCAAAAGTCGATAGCAAATGTCCCATAAAATATCCATAACAGTATCGTTAAAGGATCTGTTTCAAAATATCCTAGTAATTATAGTAATGTGAGCCTAGTCTACAGAATAACACAGGCAGATTTAAGCATTATAAAAACAGAACCTGACCTCAGGTTCACACAAGCTGTTTCACATCTGCACAGATCAGTCCAATGATGTTTAAATTACAGTATTGTGCACAGATTAAGTGGCATATTTTAAAAGAAAAGAGTTCCTATCCATGAAGCAGGGGTGGTAATAACCACATGCTTTCATGTTGGAAATCCCAGATCTGCAGAAACTCCCACCTGTATTAGTTACAATGCCACATGGTTGATACTCGTGTTAATAGTGCAGGAAGACAGCCAAGCCCCAAACAGCTGTGCAAGATCAACTATAGATTTCATCAAAGTGTCTTTAATGCTGGCCTTGGCTACATGCTAAATCTTGGAATGACCTATTATCATTTATACTGAGTTAATTAAGGTACAGTCACTTTAAATAACTTTAAACACCCCTTCCCAGGTTTCTTGTCACCTGGACTAAGATGCTGTTTGTGATAAGTAAGCTTTTAATTACTTGTAAACAACCATTCCCCCTTTCCTTATCTCTTCCTTGCAGACAGAAAAAACCTGCAAGTCTTCAATGTTAAAGCAGCATCCTGCTCACATCACAATCCTTACTGCATACAACCACATAAACAGCAGTATAAGGTGGGGTTTTTTTAAGAATAAGAGTGCTGGAAATGAAGAGAAAACCAACAAGAGTGGAGCCATTTTAGAATGGAGCCACGTCTTAATGTGAGTATAACGAACAGACAAAAGAAATAGCCCCAATGGATGGTTTCAATAGCTTTCACTTTGATTTTGAAAATCAAAAAGGAAGAATTTAAGCTGCAAGCATTTGCAGATGATCTGGTTTTCATCTTAGAAGACCCTCTAGAAACAGCACCAAAATTGATAGAAAAAATAGGGACATATGGAAAGGTGGCTGGTTTGAAAATAAATAAAGATAAGACAAAGATCTTGACAAAGAATATGCTATTAAGACAAAAGGAAGAACTGGCAGACCTATTGAAAATTCAGGTCATGAATAAGATCAAGTACTTGGGGATATATTTGACAGCAAGATGTAGTACACTAAAAGAGAATAATTATATCAAACTTAAACAGCAGATAGCGCTAGATCTGGCAAAATGGGAAAATTTACAACTGTCAGTAATAGGGAGAATTTCAACAATCAAGATGAATATATTACCCAGAATTTTATATTTGTTTCAAACTATTCCAATTAGGCTTGGAAAAGATTACTTTGAAGATTTAAATAAAATTGTGTTGAAATATATATGGCAAGGTAAGAAAGCAAGAATAAAGTTAAAACTTTTGCAAGATGCTAGAATTAGAGGAGGATTTGGTTTGCCTAATTGGGAGTTGTATTATCAAGCTACAAATCTGATGTGGGTTAAGGAATGGATAACACTAAGAAATACTAGATCGTTGACATTAGAAGGACATTATTTGTTGTTGGGGTGACATGCTTTTTTATGGTATAAGGGAACCAAAACACAGGGCTATTTTAGAAGACATTATATACGGGAGTCTCTGTGGTTAAACTGGGAGAAGATTAAAAGAAAATGATTTTAGGATAGATTTGGGATGATAATATGAACTGTTATAAAACAAACTAAGTAAATTATGATTATCTTGTAAAACATGAATGAATAAAAGTATAGTCAAATGATTGATTAATAATGATACTAAGGTGTTTAATTTTTGATTGAAAATACGAGATTATATGCAATGTAACTGTAATTGAAGACTACGAAATGGAAGCACAAAACAATTTGTAAACCAACCGGCACACTGTATGTATACATATGGAAGATGGCTTGATGTTTTTATGTTTTGTTTGTTTATGTTTGTTTTTAAAAACCAATAAAAACTTTAAAAAAATAGCTTTCACTCCTACTTCCATGTTATTTTTGAAAGCTTTACTCTGAATACAGAGTATCTCCACTTTGCATGCTGCTACTTCCTTGTCTCATAAGTTCCCGTGCACCAGCAGCACCGTCAACGGAGGGTATAATGGTCTTTGTGGGAATGACCTTGGGAGTCAGGGCAGACAGAGGCAGATAACAGGCAATTTAGCCTGCAGCAGGAATGTGAGTAGGGCAAGAGACTCGGGAGAGACCATCCCTAGTTCCTTAGACTGTATAAGGGGATGGGAGAGAAAGATACTTTCAGATTTTCAAGATTTTGTTAATGGAACTTTACAATAAAGTAAAGTCAGTTCATTTCACTGTGTTTCCTGTCTAGTCTACCTTGCAAGATTGGCATCAATCTTTCAAGTCTGAAAAGGAGGGATGTTATGAATGATGGTGCAGGAGCAGATGGATCCCCACTCTCAGGGAAGGAGAAGAGCCAGAACCCAGACAGTCCTAATCAATCTTTCAATGAACTAAGAATTGTTGTGTAACCTGAAGGAGATCTCGGAAAAGATGTCAGATATAGACAAGCAGAGGCATGTATGGATTTCGTAACCCTGAGATTTATTCATACATTATGTTTCCGTCAAATATTTTTCAGAACCTTTAGATAAATGAACTTCTTCTTTTAAAAAATAACAATATAAAATACATATTTGCCCATAATTTAAACACATTACATGAACATTATTACATATATATTATTTCATCTTCCATCAATGAAGTTTAAGTTAGGAGTGTGCAAGGTCAGAATAAGAGTCACGCATGTTCTTTTTTTCCACATCCGAAGCATTTTAAAAGCTTTGACTTCTTGGAGCTTCTCCAGGTAATATGAAGGAGGTGGGACGTTGTCAGTTTTGGGACAAATATTTTACACGATCCTGGACCCATTGTGCATTGGGATCTGCACACATCTGCCGATTCCTATTTGTGATAAATCTGCAGAAGAAACATACACATACATATTTTAATCACAAGCTGGAAAGAAAGCAATTCTCTACAATTGGCACCACACTTAGCTTTCAAGGGGGCAGAGCCTCTCCCATCAGTCACCCTCAAGAGACTCCTATTCCCAATTGGTTTCATGAAAGGGGGTTCATGGACAGATGTCTACTAAATCTTTCAATTATTTATGCTAAAGGACTGATTTGTCTGAAAATTGTGAATCGAAGTGTTGAATTAAACCTGCACACAGGGCCTTTCAAGAGGGAGATAACTTTAGATTTTGGTATAAGAATATCTGCAGGGGGGTTGACAAATAAATCAACATAGCAGCCAAGGGCCTTGCAATTGAAATCCCAACCTCTTTATTAATGTTTATTGCAAAAAATGAATAGATTTTTTTCTTCTGACTCTCTGGCCTCATTGTGATATGTTGGGTAGGAATGCCTATCCACGAGGACCGCAACTAATTTTACATTTAAATTAATTTCACATAAATTCAATATAGGGAAATGATTATGGCTGGTGCACTTTTCCATAAAGGTCACACAAAAGATACTAGACGTTTCAAGGGCAGCCAACATTACATTTAACATATTCAGGAATCACTTAGGAGTTGATAGATTTTGTTTTAGTACTTACACGACAGCTTCCATGGAACACCTGGCACTTGTGCGTTCAAAGGACCTCACGTTCCTTTGTGGAATAGGCTTCTTTACGTAGTCAAAACAACAGAGCTTGGCATCTGAAAGACAGGAAAAGAGACTTGTGTTATTTTAATGGTTTCCCTTCCCCAATCATTGAGTCTTGAACCTGAATTTCTTACTTACTAGTTTAGAATATTTACCATTCACCTCATATAATATGGGCAGAATTTCCCTGGACTGACCTTACCATGGAGCATATTATTTTTATTAGATTTATATCCAACCTTATTTTGTACAACTCAAGGTAGCATACATAGCTAATGCTTCATCCTCTTATATTGTCCACAAAAACAGCCCTAGAGATAGGTTGAACTGTGGCAGAATGACTGGCCCAAAGTCTTTTAAACAATGTGCTCTAGTGCAGAGCTAGAAGTGGAGATTTGTATTTTACTTCTAGCTGTGAAAATTTCAGAGGCAAATTCAACAATGATTTGTGCAGAAATTAAGAATGCAAGAATTGTCTCACTCAGGCAGAATCCCTTCTTTCTTTCTTTCCTTCCTTCCTTCGCAATAGAATGGATTCTTACTAGTATCTATTGCAGCTAAATAGTGACTATGTGAGCCCCAAAACACTAACTCCTAAAAATTCTACCTGGCACTAGAGGAAAATAAGCTTATTTTGGAGAGGAATTTCTGTTACATAGGGAATCCACTTTCCTTTTGTCCACTCAATAGACAATGTTCAATATGGAAAATAATTTTTCTGCATGCATTAATACAACTGATACTGTATTCCCCCAAAATCCTTGAAATAAATGGCTTATGATGATTATAAAAACATTTCAGAGTAAAAAGGACAAATGTTATATATCCATCCACCCTATCCTCTTTTGAAATCTGAAAGGAAGAGTTCATTCTCTCCACATACATCTTCTGAAGGGTGGGATAGGGTGCTGCGCTCTCCTTCTCATCCCAAATTCAGCTCAAGCAAATGGTTTAATTCTTCTGCAGAGCTTCCCTTTTCAAATGGGGTTGTACTTACACTCTGAGCAGCATTTGCTGTCCCTAACTATCCTTGTTGTTTGTTGCATGACCAGCACTTTCAGGAGAGATGGTTGGACAAAACCTAGAACCCATTCCAAGATAGCAAGGGTTATAACTATGCATGTAGGTAAAAGGTAAAGGAGCCCCTGAGGATTTTACTCTGCTAGTCGTTGCCAACTATAGGGGTGGTACTCATCTCCATTTCAAAGCTATTGAGCCAGCACTGCCTGAAGACATTTCTGCAGTCATGTGGCCAACATGACATCACAGAGCGCTATTACCTTCCCACCAAAGTGATACCTATTTATTTACTCGCATTTGCATGCTCTCGAACCAGTAGGTTGGCAACAGCTGCAGCAAGGGTGGGAGCTCAACCCATCACTTGGTGCTCGAGTCTCCAACCTAAGCTGCTGGCTTTTCAGCCGGCAAGTCCAGCATTTTAACCATGAGACACCTAACCACCCTCAGAATGCAGGTGGGATGCTGAAAAAAAAGAAAAAGCAGTCTTACCAAACTGAGCCTGAGCTTGGGATAGGAACATAGCAGCAACCAGGAAGACGGCGAGGGTAGCCAAGGAGCTGTTCATCTTTGCTCTTGGATCAAATGAGAGAAGCAATAGTAGTTGGGGTAGCTTGTGCACCTCCTTAGTTCCATGCTGAGAGGCAGAATTTCTCGTGTTTATATAGATCGGTTGTGGAGAGGGTGGAGATTTGCTGGAAATAAAATCCACAGATCATATCTGAGAAATGATGACATAACAGTAAAAAAATCTGCCACAATCAGTTCTCTGGATGAAAGAGGAAGCAAATGTTGCCAGAGAAAAAGGGAATTTGCAGCCTTCCTCTAACTTTGCAAAGTGGGTGGCGGGTAAGCCATCTGAGCCAGGGATTCTGGAAATAACATTCCTAGCAGGGGGGAAATGGTGCTAGAAGAGCAGGGGAGCTTTTTCTGGCGAGGGGTGAGAGGGTGAGGAGCAAGGAAGTAGGAAATCAAGCAGGGTCCCTCGGAGGTGTGGTCTCACTCAGATATCTCACTTTTTAAATAAGGTGATAGATGGATATGCGGCATTTATTGTTTATAGACTTTTAAATATACATTAATCTCAATTAGGGCTTCGGGATCTGAAAATGGTGCAAGGCTTTGGGGATTTCTTGCAAAGAAATGAGGGAACAATTGTGGAATTCAAATGAGTTCTCAAGGGCAACTTGCTCTTTTAGCTCGAGTTTAGCCTTGGTATCCATCCAAAGGTCCACCTGAGATGAGCAGATGGTCGCTGAACTGCAATCCTCTTCCTGCATCTTCTCTGCCTTTTACAGCAGAGGCCAGAGAGGCTGAACAAGCAGAGTTCCCTGCAATTCCTGGAGAAGGGAATGGAATGGAATGGAATGGAATAGAAACAGAAACTTTACTGTTATTTTAAGTGACAATAATCATTTGTCAATAATCATCCATTAATCAGCATACATTAAAATGAAATTTCGTTGAATTCGGCTCTCAACAGATAACCATTATGCATATAACACACACACACACACACACACACACTCTTTTATGACACAGAGAAACATAACAGTCTAGTTTGAATGTATACATCAACATGGTGGGGGGAAAAAGAATCCTGTGAATTTACAAGATGGATGGCAAAAGGAACAAAACTATTACAGAATCTAGTAGTCCTGCTGTAGATATTTTGAAACCTCCTCCCGGGGGGAGCAACAGAAACAGACCATAAAGTGGGTGTGTGGGGTCTCTGACAATGCTTTGAGCTCTAGGCACATAGCACTTATAAGCAATATCCTGAATAACGGGAAGCGAGCTTCCTATAATCTTCTCGGCTGTCCTTACCACTCTCTGTATGGACTTTCTATCTGAGGCACTGCTGCCACCAAATCAAAGAGTGATGCAGTTTGTTAAAACGCTCTCAATCGTGCCTCTGTAAAAAGTGGCCAGGACAGAAGGAGAAAGCTGTGCTCTCCTCATCCAATGTAGGAAACGCAAAAGCTGGTTTGCACACTTCATTAACGATAACCTATTAAGAGACCAAGTTGGATTGTTAGTTATCTACACCCACCACATACTTAATGCTATTGACCATCTCCACAGCTGCAGCCTTAATGCCAAGTGGAGAATGACTATGCTGGCTCTTTCTAAAATCGGCAATGATCTCCTTTGTTTTATTAACATTCAGAACCAGTTCATAATTGGTTAACTCTCTGAACACAAGTCCCAGGACGACAGATGTATTTTCATATTGAAGAGGAGCCACAAAGTCTGAAACAGCTGTGTGGAAGGCTGCCAACCATTCCTCCTGAGAAGCTAAGCTGAATCATGATAACTTGCATAAAGCAGGTTATTATTGCTACTTTCTGACTTCCAAGTGGGTCAACCAACTATCAATCCACTATTTAAAGATAACTCTATTTTCTTTGAAACACAGCTGAACTGATGTAAACCTGAGCCTCAACTGTATACAGGTAGTCCTCAACTTACAACAGATCCTTTAGTGACTGTTTGAAGTTACAACTAAAAAAAGTGAGCATTTTTCACACAACCGTTGCAGCATTCCCAAGGTCACGTGATCAAAATTCAGAGGCTTGGCAACTGACTCATATTTATGACGGTTGCAGCCCCCTTTGTGATTACCTTTTGCAACCTTGCGACAAACAAAGTCAGTGGGGAATCTAGATTCCCTTAACCAGGGGTGGAATTCTACCGGTTCTGTCTGGCTCTGTAGAACCGGTAACTCTGAAGAGCAGCAGACATAGAACCAGTTCTATGTCTGCTGCTGTTTGGCCCGCCTGCCTGCCCAGGCTCTTACCTGACCTTTATTTCCTGCTTTTTCAACCTCAGCTTCTGTGCGAGGCACAGCTGCGGTTGAAAAAGCAGGAAAAAAGTGCTTTTTCAAATGCTGCTTTCCTGCACGCAGCGCTGCTCAGCTGTCCAGGCAGCAAGCTGATGAAGATTTACACACTCGTGCAGCGTGCAGGGAAGCACATCGTAAATCACCGAACTGGTAGTTAAACCTGTCAGATCCCACCCCTGCCCTTAATTATGTTAGTAATTTAACAACTACAGTGATTCACTTAACTGTGGCCAGAAAGGTCATAAAATTGGACAAAATGCACTTAGTTGTCTCAATGAGCAACAGAAATTTTGGGCTAAATTGTGGTCATAAGGAGAGGAAATACTAAAAAAGTATTTTCCCACACAACTCCATAAGGCTGACAATGAATGCAGAACCTCACTAACTCAGGAGTGGCATGATTATTATTTTTTGGTAGGTTGGTTTACAAGTGTCTATATTCCCTGTTCAAATAAATCTAAGTTATCAATGTGAAGTTGATGCTATCTAAATTCAACCCAAATTCAACCTAAATTCAAACCCCCCTGTAAAGACAGTCAAAAAGGATAATCTAGTCACATTGAGATTAAGCCTCACTTGCCTGTTTAAAAAGAAGTATCTTCATTATTATTATTTTTTTAGGAATACCAGGAATGAAAAGGCTAGGCATCTTTGAAGACTGCATGTTCCACAGTTTTTGAGCTACTTTGATTAGTAGTTAACTACCACGCCAGAAAAGCCTGAGACTGTGAGTTCTAATCCTGACTTAGCCATGAAAACCAGCTTGGGCGACTTTGGGCCAGTCGCTTTCTTTCCTCCCAACTCACCTCACAGAGTTGTTGTTGTAGGGAAAATAGGAAGAGGAAAGTGTTCACTGCCTTCTGTTATTTGTTATTTTGCTCATTCATGGCTATTGGGGGTAGTGTAGAGCAAAGTCAGAAAGATTCTCTTCATATGTGGCATTTCCAAAAACGTCTCTTTCTAATATTCTGCCACTTTTAAAGGGCCAGTTCTTAGAGGTTTGTGAAGTGGGTTCAATTACATTTGGATTGCTTTGAATCTAATAATGGTGTTTAAAGTGTTTGCTTCTCTTATTTCCATTTGGTGTATTTAGGAAAATTGCTGGCAAAACTTGTACTTAAGGCAACATGGAGAAATATGAATTAAAATATACACCATTTTATATGTCATTTGGGATTTGTACAGAAAAATAGCTCATATGCTTTACATAAACCAAAACCCCTCTTACAGGAAAACGTCATGAATTTGTAAAACATGAAATTGTGTTTCTCATTCTTATAGTTAACAAATTGCTAACTTACTTGTCAAAAAACAAATGTAAAACACATGTGCTGGACTCAGTACAAGCTTTGTTTTCAGAAACAAATGAAACAAATAATTAAGTGTTAGTGTGTGTTGACATGTCAAGTTCAGATTTTTATTTCCAATGAAAATGATCTTCCTTTGAACACATTAATTAATTTATGGAGAATGTATGACTATATGCTTTGAATCTAAACCATTTTTCTCTGTTTGGAAACACGATGATTGAACCTAGTGCTCCCTATGAAAGAATTTCTTCATTGGAGGGGGAAAAAAACTTTCAAGAGGTACATAACTTTCTTCTCCAATATTTCAGGAAAGTGTGCAAGTGAACAGCGGCAATCACCTGTCCAGAACAGAGGTGGAATTCAGCAGGTTCTGAGCAGTTCAGGGGAACCAGTAGCAGAAATTTGGAGTAGTTTGGAATACCAACTCTGACTGGCCCCGCCCCCACCTATTCTCTGCCTCCTTCTCTGGCTGGGTCTTCTTTTGTTGCCCTGCACAGGAGAATGGAGCTGGAAAGCAGGTTAGAGGGCTGGGGAGGGAATGGAGATACCTTCCCCTGCCACACCCTCCAAGTCTTGCCCACAGAACCGGTAGTAAAAATGTTTGAATCCCACCACTGGTCCAGAACCTTTGGGTTTGGTAACAAAAAGATGTTCTTTGAGTTCAGCTTAACTCCGGATGACTTCATGAACTGCCAGCCCTTTGAGGCGGTCCAGACAAGAAGCTAAAACCATTAGTACTAAGACTATCTTTATGGAAGGTTATAGTAGCAGAATTTTGCAAGTCTGAAAGTGTTCCTGCCCACCTTTGCTTTCCAGAGAACTAGGGAGGGTCTCTTCTGAGACATTCCCATACTCCATTTCTTCTGTGGACCAAGATATATTTTGCCTGACTGCTGTCTAGCCTGCAGCTCTTCTTCCTGTTTCTCAAGATTCTTCTCACAGCTCATCGTATGAACATACCTATGAGCACATGAAGACATGATTTGTTGAACAAAATAAACCAGTAAATTATAAATTATAAAACATAAGTAAGCAAACACAATAGCTAGATTCACATAACTGATTAACCAAAACCAAACAGACCACATTATTCCTTGGGCTAATATACGAACACATCATTCTTTTCTTTCTACATAAAAAGCTTTCTGACTTTTTCAGTCCCCTTCCTTAAATGAGTAATATAATTTGTCATTAATAAATGATATGAAGCATTAACAATGTCAAGAATTATCATTAATAGGAACTTGAAATGTTCTTTTAATTGTAGAAGCAAATAATGCCAATGATGAAATATCAAACACATTAAACCCCAGAGGAGCACTGAACATTGGCCAGAGTAGGTCTTTCATTTTCAGAAGACATGTTGGACTCCCCTTGGCCACTATTCCAGCAGGGAAAGGATGCATCAAAAGTCAATAATAATATGAAAGATGCAGAAAATTTCTCTTGACATGAATTTTAGTTAGCATGGTTCTTCTTGAC